ACATGGGAGACGTTTATGAATAAAGCTTCATCACAGAATGAAATATAGAGGAGAAAAAGAAAACTTTCTGGCAATTTTAATCCTTTTGTTGTTTTCTCTTTCTTTTTCATTGGTCAAGCAGGCTTTACGAACATGCGACTTGTCAAGCAGCGTTCGTGTAAGTGTATCATAATTCTAGTTTTATAATACGGGATACAGATAATAATGTATATTTGTTTCTTTGTCTGTGTGTGTGTGTGTGTGTGTGTGTGTGTGTGTGTGTGTGTGTGTGTGGTAGGCATTTTTATTTATGTTTGATTTGGAGACGTTTTGTACGAGGGTCACATACACATAATTTTTCACTTTCTTCTTGCTTCGATGAAGATTTAATAAAAACTTTATAACCATTACCTATTTGTTCCTTATCCTACTATACGCATATATATATATATATATATATATATATATATATTGCTGCTGGGTCAAAGGGCCTCGACGACGAAGTGGAAACTAACTAGACTATATAACGCAATATATATATATATATATATATATATATATATATATATATATATATATATATATATATATATTTTAAGCATTATTTTAGTGGATACTCGTTGAGTAGGTGCTTTGATTATATATTAAACAGTATATTTATTTATTTTCATCTACCGGCCTGAACGTTCGAGAAATCTTATTAAAGAAAAATGTACGCTATTCGAAAGAGCAAAGGAAGCCACTGTTTAGCCCGGTACACCTTACTGCTTGGTCACGAAGAACAGACACACTGGCGAAGCCAATTTCATGCTTTCAAGCGAAATTTCTCCCGTTATAAATCTCTCGAAGTTCTCCATGTCTGCACAAAGGGAAGTTTATAGAATAGATATTTATTAATCCGACAGTTTTAACGTAGTTTTTCTTTAGAGGATACTCGTATTTGAGTAGACGTTCGGTTTATTTATTAAATGGTATATTTATTTATTTTCACCTACCTAAAAATTCGAAAAATCTTATTAAAGGAAAAAATAAAACAGGTGTATCAGTAAAATTGTCCAGATCGTGTAAAAGCAAAATTGTCCATTTGTTATCTTAAACTTTGAACCGGTGTATCTTAGAAATGATTAAAGATATCTTACTGGAATTCTCCAAGGTTTTTATAACACTATTGGACTCTACTTTGAACAATAAGAATGTATAATTACTCCCCAAGCCTAACCGTGATGAAATCGATCATAAACGAAAATAATATTTTTATCATTAATTAATCATGGCTAAGGATCGGAACCTCATGAAGTATTGAAATAAAGTTAATATATATATATTATAACAGGATCATTTTCCAACTTATTCAAGATGATCTTCGCCCTCTCTAACCTTCTAACTTTCTGTTTTGGAGTAACAAGGTGCCTCACAGATTTCACTCACGATTTCATTTTCAAGTTTTTTTTCATTGCTCTTTGGACTTTCATAGATGAAACTTCTTTCTCACATGTCAAACGTCTTATGAGTTGGCTTGGATCTTTTCTGATCTCTTTAGCTCTAGCTAATCCAGATAATAACACGACTATCCAGTTCACATGATGATTCTATTGTGAGCTCTTGATCCACTTTTCCTCTCTACATTTCCCTCTTTTTAAAATTTATTCACCATTCTCTTGGAGGTTCTTGAACAGACTTTGAAGATGGAAGCCAGAGTATGAATGTTGGTACCATTACTGAAGTCCTGAATGATATTTTTCCTTTCACCATTGCACAGTTGGAAAGCCAGTGGGTCTGACACAAAACAATTTTAACATGTTCCCTTTCTAGCTGAATAACTCAAAGGTTTTTTCAATGATTCTTACAACAAATGGTGTCATGATGGCTAAACGTCTTATGTAAAAACCTGGAAAAAAGTAACCGAATTAATTTAGTGGTTTTTTTTTTTTAGATATTAAACATTTTGTAGGATGATCAATTATGCTGTAACACGATTTGGACAATTTTGCTGTTACACCCGATATATATATATATATATATATATATATATATATATATATATATATATATATATATATATATGTATATATATATATATATATATATGTATACATAGTATAGTATTGCTTCTGTAACTGTTGTTAACTTTCTGGCTTTATTCAGGCTGTTTCGTGAAAAGGGAAGATATGCATACGTAGAAATATATGGTCCTGATTTATAGACAACATTTAGATTAAAAGTCTAGATAGTCGCGTTATATATTATTTGGAAGGACGTCGTCATCAGAAAATGACTCAAAGTAAAGATATTTGGCGATTATCTTATCAGTCAGTGGAACGAATTTGATTCACATTGAAAGCGGTTTTGCAAAACAAACATGAAATATTTACTCGCAAATCGATCCATCCGAGAAACGTTCCTTTGATGTTCACTTCGAAAAAACAACGCCCCCACATTTTTTTTTTTTTTATCTTCTTCGATTACGTAGCCAAGCTGTCCAGGATTATCGATCTCTATTGGCCTGTCTATTGATTCTATTTATAATTATAATCGATCGATGGAAGCAAGTGCTGCAATGCCTAGAGTTTTCCACAACACGTGAGGCCGTTTTCTGATATTCATATCAATACAACTGGGCTATAATGAGTTTATTTGGACCTAGCTTAAAAGCTGTCCGGCATTGAAACTAGCTCCTGCAGGGGGCTCCTATGTTGACCTTCGACTTGTTCAAGAGTTTGAGACTCACTAAGTCTATGCATATTCTCAGCATTGGAAGCTCTTCTGGCTGCCGTTTGATCTGGGTTTTCATTTGCACGGGACATTCTTTTCCTCGCTGCAGCCTTGGTTCTTTTGATTGCAATCTCGTCCTCTGTTGGCGGAGATTTCTTTTTGCGAGGCATACTGCTGTCGTATGTGATAGGCAACAATAAATTACAGAAGAACTCAACATTGATCGCTGCATTTGAGGATTGCATTAATATTTAAGCTTACCTTGTAAAAGTTCAACGATAATTCTTCTGTCGCCACTTAATTGAAAGACAATTTGATGGACGTAGGTCCTTACTTTCCGTACAAATAATTATTTTTTTTATTTCATGGGTGACTTTCGCTGGATTTCGCAACTAATTCCAATTATTCCTAAATTTATTTCCAAGTTATAAAAATTGTTATCGCACAAAAATTCGTTGTAAAAATTCACGAAAAAAAATTTGCCCAAAACAATCGCAATAATGAAAACTTGGGAATCCAAAATTTCAGGATTACGGATCCAGATCCGACTCGGAATGTTTTTAATTTGCTCACGGGGTCGGCCTGATTCCAAAATGGTAAATGTTGGGTATACGGTCTCTAGGAGCAAAATTGAAAAAGTGTGACACACTGACATACGCATTTATTATATATATGTGTGTGTGTGTGTGTGTGTGTGTGTGTATGTTTGTGTGTGTGTGTGTAACTCGAATGTTGCCGTCTTTCGTGGGTCCTATAATTATATTACCAAAGAACAGGTTTTCACGTTGAATAAAATTTAACCTATTTTGCCAAGCACACACAAACACACACACTCTCTCTCTCTCTCACGCATACTATATATATATATATATATATATATATATATATATATATATATATATATATATATATATATATATATGCGTGTGTGTGAAATGTGTATGTACATAAACATAAATATACATATATGTATATATGCAATTTATTATATATATAGCGTTTATATATTATATATGCGCGGTACTTATTAGAAAGCGCTCAATATCAGTGATAGAGCTAAGATATTTAGTTTCAGATGATATGTAAGGATGGTGTAATAAATAGCGAAACGAGAGAACCGAGTTCGAATTTAAGTCGTGTTTGTTATATTCGCCTACATGCAAATATCCTTGGAAAAGGTAGAAACCCTCCCCAAGTATGGCTTACATTGTAGGACTCGTAGCTAGAACAGTCATGATTATTCTAAAAAAAAAAATATATTAATGGAATTTTTACTAGCAAAATATAATTATTCTTACAAGCCGAAATATCTTTTTAGATAACATATAAAGGGTTGATAAGCCGTAAAAAATCAATCAATTTACACTCAGATATTAGATATTACGTAGATACTCTTTTGCACAACATAGTTCCAGGCTTTTTTCTTCTTCTAACATTTTCATCATAGTCTGCTTAGTTTCTGAAAAACATCTTTCGCTATTTCTGTGTGACTTCGGATTTCTGTGTCACACTTTCTGTTGTCTCTTCCTGCACAACCGAGATAGTTAAATTTCCATACTTGCGTTATTTTGACGTACCCGATAGATAACTTGCACTTTGCCCCTTTTGCTAACAACCATGCATTCTATCTTATTTTTTGATTAATGGGGGAGTGATTTTTTTCTTCTTTTTTCGCTTTTACCCTTTCTAATAATTTTTTCGGGGTTCTTACTGAATCTGCCATCAGTGCAGTGTTATCTGAATAGCGCATGTTAATAAATCCTTGAAGGTCTTCTAGTCTTCTTAGAATGATCTCGATATACAGGTTAAATAAATCCAACGAGAACCGACCCCCCACCCCTGTCGTTCTCCCCTTTTTAGATTTCGCTGCATTTAACTAATCCGTTTTCAATCCGCGTGGAAGCCGTTTGTTCCCATTAGACGTGGAGGATTATTGGAATATGTTTTTCCGTGTGAATCAACCTTTCCTAATATTTTAAGGGGTTCTTCGTTTCGTAATCTATGGAACGTAAGTAGAGATAAGTCGGCAATGTTTGACAAACGTATCTGCAAAAAAAATAAAAATAAAATAAAATAAAAAAACTACCACTAATAATAATAATAATAATAATAATAATAATAATAAACGGTGTGTCAAACTGTGTTTTTTTCTTGACATTACTTTCCCCGCCGATAACCGGTACGCTTCCAGCACATGCCATGGAACATATGTTTATTTCGCGCGGAAAGAAACACACACACACACACACTCATATATATATATATATATATATATATATATAGAAAGAAAGAGAGTGAGATGAACAGACTGAGAAGATAGATAGATAGATAGATAGATAACAATCTGAGATAGATACAAACCTATGAATAATCTGAAATAGATAGATATGAACAATCTGAGATAGATAGATAGATAGATAGATATGAACAATCTGAGATAGATAGATAGATAGATAGATAGATAGATAGATAGATAGATAGATAACAATCTGAGATAGATACAAAGATATGAATAATCTGAAATAGATAGATATAAACAATCTGAGATAGATAGATAGATAGATAGATAGATATGAATAATCTGAGATAGATAGATAGATAGATATGAACAATCTGAGATAGATAGATAGATAGATAGATAGATAGATAGATAGATAGATAGATATGAATAATCTGAGATAGATAGATAGATAGATCGATAGATAGATAGATAGATAGATAGATAGATATGAACAATCTGAGATAGATAGATAACAATCTGAGATAGATAGATAGATAGATAGATAGATAGATAGATAGATAGATTTTTCTATTCATACAAGATCAATACAAGTATAGAAATATGCTGCAAAATTTAACAAACTTCCTCCACCCACAAAAAAAATGGTGCATCAAAGGACTGTTTTAATCTTAACACCACCATCGGTGTCTCCTCCCTCGGCAATTTTCATAGCTTATTTTTTAGAATTTTATAAAATCCAAACCTATGAAAATAGATTTACCCATTTTTTTTTTAACAAGAAATGCCATGGTTTTAGTAAAATTCTAAAAGTAGGTATTTAAACCAATAAAAAATGTAGAAAGTGTATACAATAATGTCGGTGTCAAGTGATATGCCGTCCTTTCGACATACCGCTTTTTGTGAGTACGTTTGTTAAACTTTGCCGCATATTTCTATACTTGTAATGCTCTTATATGAATGAAAACACACACACACACACACACACACACACACACACACACACACACATATATATATATATATATATATACATTGGGGGGAAACAAATATTCGTACTCATACACATTTTTAATTTATTGTATTTACAACTAATGAATAAAGAAACTTTTCATATAATTAACTGTACACAGATGCTGCATAACTAAATATATATAGAAAACAGAAACATTTTGATTTTACAGAAATAAATCCCATTTATTCATTTTAATGGGTGAAAAAAGTATTCGTACAATACAAAAAAGATTACATAATCTTTATTTAATACTTTGTAGAGTAGCCATTATTCAATTCTACAGCAACCAACCTTTTTTTTTTTTTATGTAGCTCTCAATTAATGATTCGCAAATTTTACTTGGTATTTTATTCCATTCTTCTTCGCATATGGTCTTCAGATCCGGGATATTTGTTGGAGCTCTCGATTGGATTTGAATTTTCAAATGACGCCACAGATTTCAATTGGGTTTAAATCTGGGGACTGACTTGGCCATTTCAGGATATTTACATTATTTTTAGCAAGCCATTTCTTCGTAGACTTTGCAGTGTGCTTAGGACCTTTATCTTGTTGAAAGATCTAATCAGGAGGAAGTTCAAGATTTTCAACCAAAATCATTAAATTTACTTCCAAAATATTTTGATATGGTGCGGCATTCATTCTGCCGTCGATTACTGATATATTACCAGAACCTTTTTCAGAAAAAGAATCGCCAAACCATAATGCTGCCACCATTAAATTTCACTGTTGGAACTGTGTTCATTTGTTTGAAGCCGTCGCCATCTTTCCTCCATACATGATTTCTAGAATTACGTCCAAACAACTCAGTTTTGGTTTTGTCTGTCCATAATACTCTTTCCAAATTCGATTTTTCCTTATCCTTATGTTCACGAACGAATTTCAACCTCGGTTCTCTGTGTCTTTTCAATAGCAGTGGAGTTTTCCGAGGTAGGCATGACTTTAGATTATTCTTATGAATTTCATTGCTTATTGTCTGTTTAGTGAAACAGGTTTCTGATGAAAACAAATCTTCCTGCAACTTTTGACGAGTAACCATTAGATTTTGTTTAATTTAACGCATTAATTTCCTCGGAGATCTTGCAGAAATCTTCCGTCGAGTACCTGTTCTTCTTTGGTTTTCAACAGTTTTAGTTTTTTTTATACTTTGCAATGAATGAACCAATGGTAGTAAATGGAATATTCGCGTAGTCTGAGATTTTCCTGCAAATTTTACCTTTTTTTCCTGCAAATTTTACCTTCTGTCCAGCGCTAAACAATCAGTTCTTTTTGCGAATTTGTCATTTCTTTACCTCTTGCCGTGATGAAAACCTTCTTGCACAGAAAACCTTCTTGCACAATTGCAAAATGTTCTGTTTGCATTTTTAGGCTAAAAATAACTACTGATAACATTATTGAAACATTCTAAAATATTCCACTTAAATAATCTAGAGTATTAAAGCAATTTAAAAGTTTTAAAATCTGAAATTTGCATTGTACGAATACCTTTTTCACCCATTAAAATGGATAAATCGGATTTATTTCTATGAAATCAATTTTTTTCTGTTTTCTATGCATATTCAGTTATTATGCATCTATGTATAGTTAATTATATGAAAAATATGTTTATTCATTAATTGGAAATACAATAAATTAAAAAAAATTTGCATGTGTACGAATATTTGTTTCCCTCCATATATATATATATATATATATATATATATATATATATATATATATATATATATATATATATATAGACAAAACAGGGAAAGAAACATAGAGAGAGAGAAGAATTGATCCCGTCAGGTGTATTTGCTCAAAACTCGCTACGCATGATTGAATACCTCTTCGACATTCAATCCAGGTATATGAAAGATGTTCATTTGAACAGTGAACCTACGACCACACCTGGTCATAGGAGTGATGATAATGATAATGGCGATGAGACTGGACTCTGTGGCCTCGAGTGATAGCCAGTCTAAGAGAGCGCAATTCTGTAATTAAAACTGCGGAGAAGGCAACGGCAAACCACTCCACTATTATCCCCACAATTTATGACAATTCACAGTTAATAAAGAAAATGAATCTTTTGAGAGCCATGATCCCCTAGGTCTTAAAGGAACCTGCCATTTTTATTGTCCGTACATACAGTAAATTTAACGTGTTCTAAGGGGAGAAACATGTATTCGACATGGCCCCTGCGAAACATAAAACAAAGACATTAAACATCCAAAAAGAAAGAGAGCTGAATGATGCGTTCCTTGTGCAATTACAAAAAAAATCTCTCTGGAGATAAAGAAGAGACTATTAAGTATAGAACGCACAATAGCGTTGCAGAATGGATATGACTGAACGCTGATATCAAATCTGCGATACTCACGTGGAATAACTAATTCCTGTGGCTTCGAAAATGATAACTGCATTCTCAGACTTCCGACGCCTTTTTAAAACGAGTGTCTGTCTCTGTCATGTTATTTGTTCTCACCACTTCTCCTCGCTTCGTCTTGAAGCACGCTCAGATTCTGTTCCATCATTTATCGTCTGCTTTCTCCAAACACTCTCGTCTGCCCAAAGCTATTGATTTTTTCTGCCTTGTGCCAAAAGTCTTTTGAAATGAGTTCCGCCGCTGTTATCGCCAGACGCTGGAAGGTCGTGGGCGAATTTTTACAGGAATTGTACGAATGTTAGTCCAAGAGATAGAAAGAGGGTAAAAGCAAATGATAGTAGAAGCCCGTGGAAGAAAGGGAAAGGCAAATAGCGAAAAAGATAGATAGAAGGTGAAAGATAGTATGGGTGGGCGTATAAGAGATAAAAACAGAGTGAGAGACAAAATGAAAAAAAGAAGTGAGAGAATTAAGGTGCAAAGAGATAAAAACTAGAAAAAAAGGGAGGTACAGTGTAACCCGGATATAAGAGAGTTGTCGGGACCAGAGACGAAGTCTCTTATATCCGGGTTTCTCTTATATCCGGGTTTCTCTTATATCCGGGTTTCTCTTATATCCGGGTTTGGTCTATTTTATATACATTAACACAGGCTCTAATTTGGGACCAAAGAAAATCTCTCTTATATCCGGGTTTCTCTTATATCTGGATCTCTTATATCCGGGTTACACTATAGTATGATTTTCACGGGTTTGAGATTATTTAGAAACAGGAAAGCAGAGAGAGAGAGAGAGAGAGAGGGAGAGTGGTGCATTGAAAGTGAGAGTGAGAGGTAAAGATATTGAAAGAAAGAAAGAAAGAAAGAAAGAAAGAAAAGTGAAATATTGGTGCAGAATGATAAATGAAAGAAAGAGTAAATAAGAAAGAGTGAATAAAGACAAAATCAACGAAAGATCGATCGGAAGAAAGAAACAGCAGAAAAGAAAGAAAGAAAGAAAGAAAGAAAGAAAGAGAATAACACTTAAAGATCGAACGATAGAAAAACAAAAGCGTAGAAAAGAAAGAGTGGAAAAGAAAGAAACAAACAAAGAGTGAACAAGAAAGAAAGAAAGAAAGAAAGAAAGAAAGAAAGAAAGAAAGAAAGAAAGAAAGAAATTAACAGGTAAAGATCGAGCGAGAGAAAGAAAGACTGAAAGAGTGGACAAGAAAGAAAAAGAAAGAAAGAAAGAAAGAAAGAAAAGAGTGAAAAGGAACGAAAGAAACAAACTAGTAAGAAAGAAAAGTGAACAAAAAGAAAATAACAGCGAAAGAAACACTAAAAAGAAAGAAAGAATGAATAAGAAAGAAAGAAAGAAAGAAAGAAAGAATAGTAAACAAAAAAGAAAGACAAACACTAAATATCTGAAACAATATAAATAAAATAAAATGAAAATATTACACTTATTCGAGTTAAGATCATTGGTACAACTATTTCTTGTTGGTTGTTAAGCTAGTCTCGCAGATCACTGATACATTTCGACTGGATATATTCGTGATCAAGAAAAAGAATGAACTTAATTTCTAGAGAGCCGTCTACCAGGCTATATCTCCCCGTTACAATAATAAAAGCTGTTGGGTAAGAGTATGCTCTGACGCCAGTGATAATATGCCGATTGAACTGGGCATTTCTTGCAGTTATAGAAGGGTCAGATAGTCTATCGTCACCATATTAAAATTCTTGTGCAGTTCCAGCAACGCTGCCTGTGATCCATTTGCAGAATTAAATGCCAGGATATAGTCTCCAATAACGATGTCCTAGAACGATATGTTGTACCCAGCATAGAAAGCCAGATAATCAAGGCACAGCTTCGTTGGGTGGGGCACGTATGTCGGATGGAAGACTCAAGAATTCCCAAAGCAATCTTCAGTGAATTAAAACACGGTAACAGACCATTAGGCAGACTGAAACTGAGGTGCAAGGAAACTGTTAAATACAATCTCAAGAGATGTGGCATCTGCCTTGAGAGCTGGGAAAGTACTACACAATTCCGTACTACCGAAGCTCGTGCAACCTGGAAGAGCGCTTTCAAAGAGAGCATCGATGTCTTTGAGAACAGGCGTAACAGTCTCCTCATTGAGAAACGTGCCAAGAGGAAAACCAACAGTAGCAACCAGAACCCACTTTACCAATGCAGTATCTACAATAGGGCTTGCGGCTCTAGAATCGGACTCTACTCTCACGAAAGGACTCATCGGTAATGTGTCGATAGAATACTCATGCGTTGGCTCACGTCGCGAGAATCCATGATATATATATATATATATATATATATATATATATATATATATATATATATATTGTCATCCACAGACAGACTGTTTCGCTGTATCACAGCTCATCAGTGTGGCTAGACATCCGGTTGTCTCTAGCTAGGATCGAAACCCGATTGAATTGGCGTCAGGGAGTCTACCACTAAGCCGTTGGCGCACGGCAGGGATGAAGGTGAATTTTAAGTGTATTTATTTTTAGATAAACTCACAGTGACTGAGAGAACTCAATTCGATTTACCGAAGAGTCTTGCATTATTAGCCGTAATAGGCACTGTTTACAAACTCACACTTCCTCCCCAGAGAGCTCAACCGAAATAAATTTTTCAGGAGCATATATATTGTCATCCACAGACAGAAGAGAGAGAGAGAGAGAGAGAGAGAAAGAGGGTAAAGAAATAAGAAAAATATAGAAAAACTTATTTCCCTATTTCAAGTTTAAATTCCAGTCGGATCCATTACTTTCACTTACGTACTATTACCCTTGGGAAAGGTATGCATCCTTTTCTTTTACCCCCAAGCTATGGGTAAATAGTTGGGTGGTAACTGGTTTAAGAGAAGAAAAACTCTTAATTCAAAACAGGCCTGAATTCAAGACCTGGAGGAGCAGATTGATGCTCTGTAGCCTTGCAAGTTTACTCCGAAATATAACCTGCATCCTTGCACTCGCTTATCTCGTGGTACCAGAAAGAAGATGGCGGGCATTGGACAAGAGAATGCGACTAGGAATGCATAAAGCTTTTCTCACTTAAATAAATTTCAGGTGCAGGTCATTCTATGACACTAGGACTTATCGGTAATGTGTCGATAGAATACACGTGCGTTGGCTCACGACACGAGAATCCATACACAAAGGTTGCGAGGTTACACAAAAAGGGCTGTGTGACATGTTTTATCCATGCGTTGAAAATGCCTCACCATCTTTAATGAATTCTTCCATACTCGCTATTTTGTACCAAACTGGCTTAAGCCTTGAGGTATGGTGGGGTAATGGTTAGCGTCTCGAACTGAGGAATCTTGGAACCGAGTTCGAATTCCACTGGTGTCATCATATTCACTTACGTGCTAATACGCGCGGGAAGAGTATAAATCCAACTCTTCTAGCCATGCTATGGGTAAATAGCATTTACAGACGGAGTTCTATAGTCTTGCGTGACAACCAGTCTAGGAGAAGGAAATTCTGAATTCAAACCCACCTCGAATGTCGTCTCGAAGAAAGGAACTGGCCTCTCCAACTTCGAGCCACGACAGAAAATAATGGCCTCCTCATTCTTAGTACAATGGTTCCAATTAACACAAGACTGGGTTATGGAATGGTACCGTGGACCTCTCTGATTTCGGACCACTCGCCCATGGGTGCATCACCCACGGCACTTTAGACGACGAAGCTAAGCATGATAAAACAAATATTTTTTTATATGCTGATGCGCGGGGGTATAGCAGCGGTTCGGAACAAGAAATTTCAAATTCCGGTCCATTTTGTTGCATTTACTTTCGCATAAATACACTTGGGAAAAGTATGAATCCATTTTTATTTCTCTAGAATATTAGAGTAGACTGCTTTCTCTAGCCGTGGTTGGCAGCCAGTGTAGGAAAAGAACAACTCTGAATTCGAAACCAATGATATAATCTCGACTACGGCTGACCTACGACCGCGACCATGTATTATTATTTTCTAATATTGTTCTTATTAGAGTAATGTACGAAGATAAAGCAAAGGCACCAGAGAAATGTTGAATAACTACGTTATTGAATTTGGCGGATTAATCTTCCAAGTATTCCTGGTCTTGGCACCAAATGAAATATCTGTCACATTACCATATTGGCGTGGTAGCTAGATCGTATAGTATTGATGTATAAGTCCTCATGAGACAAGTTCCAAGAATTCCTGGTGATTGCACCAAATGAAATGCCTGTCGCATTACCATATTGTTGTGTTAGCTAGATCGTATAATATTGAGTTTTCATGAGTCAATTACCAAGTATTCCAGGTCATGGCACCAAATGAAAATAGCTACCACATATTGGTGTGTTAGTTCGATCGTATAGTATTGAGTCTTCATGCGACAACTTCCAAGAATTCCTGGTCATGATACAAAACGAAATACCTGTCTCAAAAACATATTGGCATATTGGGTAGATCGTATAATATTGAGTCTTCATGAGTAAATTACCAAAAATTCCTGGTCATGGCACCAAATGAAATACCTGTCACATTACCACATTGGTGTATTAGCTAGATCGTATAATATTGAGACTTCAGAAGACAATTTCCAAGAATTCCTAGTCTTGTAACTAGATTAAATACCTGTTGGTTTACCATATTAGAGTTTTCAGAAGGCATTGGTGAGTTGATTGATTGATTTTTTACGACTTATCAACCCATTGTGGATTATTTAAAGCCGAAACATATTTTTGGATTTTAAGTATGATTCTTTTTTTTTCTTTTTGCGAGAGAATATTATATTACCAATTTTTGGAGAATAACACTGATTTTTCCATATAAAAGTCCAACTAGCTAAGAGAAGGAGATAGCTTCATGGGTTTCCTAAGTGTATTTGCGCGGAAGTGAATACAGCGAACCCAACTGAAATTCAAACTCGGCTCTCCCGTTTCTCATTCTAAGCCTCCATCCAGTACACCACATTTCTTCAGAAAGCAATTTCCACGGGTATGAGGTATAACCTAGGAAAAGAAAGCATATATTGAATCAGTTGCTAGGTCTACTTACTAGGAAAGTGGGTTCACTGTGTTAGGCCGGACAGTTCTTCTTCGCAGAATCCATCTTGCACATTTATAAATCTGACACTTGTCCGAGCATTGAATATTGCAGCCATATCTGGTCTAGTGCTCCTATTCGATATCTCGAAATTCTCAACAAACTCTAAAGAAGGGTCTGTAATGTAATCGATCCTGGCTTGGCATCACGACTGCAGTCACTTTCTCACCGACATGACGTGGCTTCCCTCTTTTTTTTCTATAAATATTTTCATGGAAAATGTTCTAATGAGCTCCCCTCCTTGATACCTCGACTGCATGAATTTAAGCATGCTACTAGATTGGCAATTAGGTCTCACCGTTTTACTGTTGAACTAGCTAGATGCAACCGCATGTTCTATTCTAATAGTTTCTTTTCTCTTCTGGGTCTCTTTTTCGGTTTCTTCTTTCTCCCCTGCCACCTACGATCTTCGAAAATATAAATACAACGCCAATCGCCATCTTTAGTATTCCTGAAGCCTGTTATTTTATTGTCTTTTCTCCTCATTAAATTTTTTTCCTTCTCTTTCACTCCCAGTAACCCTTTGCGACCTAGTAACATTATCGCCTTGCTTGGTGTGAAATGATAAAAAATATTAGGTTGGTGCAAAAATAATGACGTAAGAATGTCGTTTTTTAACGTTAAAAAATACGTCAAAAAACGACATTATTACGTCATTATTTTTGCACCAACCTAATATCTTCCGATTTCAGTCAAAACCCGATGGAACCTTCCGATGGGGTAGTGTGTTCTTTTTTTCCCGCTTTCCATACTTACTGGATAGCTCATAGAGATTAAAACTTTCGAGTCTGTTTTGCCCTTTGTGTCGCTTGTCCGTTTCTTCCATTGAAATACCCGAGCATTTAATTATTCCGGTCTACCAGAGATCGAGATTTATTTTAGACAGTACTTCAATCTATTCGTATATATCGGGTTGAATAAAGAGCTCGGTTTAAAATTCCGAGAAGGTTACCGTATACGAGTCACACTCGAAGAAGGCAGGAGAGTTCAACGGCCTAAGTGTTGTGAGTATAAAAAAAACAGAATGAGCTTGCTAGTTCGAATGCAAAGACATGTAACAAAAATAATTTTGCTGTTTCGTCATGAAGTTAGTGTCATGTAAGCAAAAACCTTTCGTATTTAGGGTTATTGTGCTAGCCCCTCTTTACATTGGGACTGACGCGTCTAAGAAGAATACTTTATCAACACGTAATCAAGATATTTAAGTTAGACTAATTTTGGGGAATGGTAAGTGCTAGTATTAGTGGCGTAGCTAGAGTAAACGTCACCCGGGGCGGTCCGCTCAAATGTTACCCCAATGACCCCGATTCAGCCTATGCTGAATGGTTAGCTGTAGCTAAATTTTCATACATGCTCTACCTCTACTTTACTCTACTGACCTGTACGTTACTGTTTACATGCATGATCCAAGACAAAATCCAATACCACGAAATAATCAGTTCAAATCAAAAGATTTTTAAAATGCAACTGTTCACTTTCAGAACAAAAATATAAAACACGGCAATACACAGAAGAATGACATTCGATACTATGGTCTTAGAATGAATGTTTTCTTGTTTTTATTGTGGCAAACTGGTCAATGACATCGTCAAAATCTGTTTGTCTTGTAAGCTCGTTTTCAATGGACAGCACAGCCAGATCCGACAGTCTCGACTGACTCATGGTTGACGTAATTTTCTGTTGATAATTTTCCGGTGTCCAATTTTCCGTTGCATCATTTTCTGGGTAGTATTTAATTATCAATGATGTTTGAATGTATTTTTCTTGACAAAAATGTTCTATTTAATTTTTAAGCATTTTTCGGAACATTGTAAATCAACTGCATTCTTTTAAAGGTTACCTAGAGAATTTATGCAAAGTTTATTTTTTTGTTTTTCTTTATACGAGTAAAATAAATTTACATCGTATTTTGATGTTATTATGATTTTAGTTTTAGTGATAATTTAAAAACAATAAATATTTATCATTAGTACCAATAATGGAAAATTAAGTTAAAAATTTAAAAGAATCGTTTTTGGAATCGGAAAATAGGCACAAATTTTTCCGATTCTCGATTCCGATTAATCGTCCCAACACTAGTAGATATATTCAAAAGTATATCGCTCACTCAATGGAAAATTGTATCTCAGCGAATTGATACACAGGCAAGACTGAAATTGTTGCACTTTTGGCTTCGTATTTCGCTTTGTTATTAATGATGCAGAGTTAAAACACCATACCATCCGATAAAATGTTACAACAATGTCTCTTGTTAGTAACCAAGATTGTAGCAACTGAAACACATGAAAGCTGAAAATATCCTATTAGATTTTATTAGAAAATTTCTGACGGGGGGGGGGGACAAAACTGTGGTGGTCATAAATTATTTCTGTTGTCATATGCCCGCCTGCGAAACACTGTGTCTCCACCACTGTTTTCAGTCTATTTTTGGCACCTTAGCCTGGTTGAAAAATTTTGCTGTGCTGGCACCCGGGGCGGTCCGCCCCCCCTCACCCCTCCTAGCTACGCCACTGGCTAGTATAGGATAGTTTTGCGTTTGGTACACGTGCAGGTTTAGTTAAAGAGTTAGTATTGTTAAGGGAATAGTATTTAAAACATATAAAACATTGGATTAAACTATGCAAGACAAAGACCAGTTTACCTCGTTATGGATTCCGGGGGAAGTAGTTCGAATCGAAACCGGATGGAGTCAAAAGGGGAGCGTGAAAAGCCTTAATTTCATTGGCTGACGTTGACCGACGAATGTCAATAAGAACGGGCGGACTCCTAGCCATATCTGAATTTTTCTTTGCAATGTCGAGGTGCGTAGCATGACGTTATCAAGGAGGCGAACTGAATCTTCCGGAGTCAGGTCGGGATTGCTGTTTGGGCCGATATGATGCAAAACCCGAAATCGGCCATGAGGACAGTGAATCACTGAAGACCACCCTTGATGCATGTAAAATGTATTATGCAATTTTACACCCCTGTGCAAATTAATTGAAACAACCGCTTTAGTTTCCTTTCTTTCACCATACGGTCAGTTTTTGATCCACTGGAGTGACAGGGTGTAATCGATTTCTATTTTCACCTGAGAATTCATCAATTGCAGTAGTGTATAGTAATATGAATCTATTTTCAGGGAGTATGATGTAATTTATTTGGCCTTGAAAAATATTGCATCATCCGTGATTGCATCAAATTTTTATCACGCCCAGACACTATTGTCTCGACTGTCGATTAGTTACCCTACAGCCACTGTCTGCGATGGACGTTACTCTAAGGAAGCGTACGAAAATTATAACGCTGCACGAACACACTAGCAAGCCTTACCAGTGAGTATATCAAAGTACTATAGACCGGCCCGGAAACTCTCCTGATTTAAACCCAATCGAGAATCTGTGGTTAATCTGCAAGGAAGGACTTCGTGAATTGGGTATACGAAGTACTAACATACGCATAGGTCATGTTTCATTGGAAAAATACGGAAAAAAGTAAATAATAACGGAATTATTCGTTTTGTTTCAGTTAATTTGCACAAGGGTGTATTTACACCTAAACCTGAATACAACGGTTAACATAAACACAATGTCCTTTCCTGTATAAAGAGAATGTGTCAGGCGGACTTACCCATCTAGTGAAGTGATATAAGGCTAGATAACTTGGCAATTGGTACCGTTGGCGGCAGAGAGAATTTTTTGCATGTTGCTTCGGAACAGGTCCGGTCCCTTCTCTGGTGGTAGTCAGCTTTTTCTAAACCCACGTGGTTTTATTAATCAATGAGAGAACGCTTAACATCATGTGACTAATCTCTATATATAGGAGCAGACGAATTTTACAAACCCGACAAGGTCAATGGCTGAAACCTCCTGACGAGTGGACTGTACGATTACAAAAAGTTTTGTCTACGAAGCTCCAGAGCGGAATTTCGAGTTGCTGATAACATCAGTCAGCTAAGTGACAAATTTATTTGTAATAATCCTGTATATATATATATATATATATATATATATATATATATATATATATATATATACTTTTCCTCACCTGCAGTACAATAGTCAGTTTAAACTCACTGGTGTTGTGCATAAACCTCAGAGTTGTTCTACCGGGGAGCGACATTCGCGAAGCCCATATTTCACCGGCGTTGCCCGGGGATGTAACAGTGAGAGATAGATCAAGTATCGACCATCATAAAGACTGAAAAATAAAATTGACAAAGATTATTGTTTAAGGTTGACGGACACGCATGTCTTAATTAGTTTTTTTTTTTTTTTTTTTTTACGAATTGGTCAAACCCAAACTCAAACAAAAACTTTGTTTTCAATCGTTCTGAGTCTACCGATTGAATAGAATTTTATTATAAACAATTGTCTTGTAAATGGAATTTTTAAAGCATTCTGAATGTAAAAAAAAAAAAAAAAGTGTGCAAGACAATAAAAAACACTACCAAAAAAAAAAAGTGAAGTTTTGTTGAAATCGGTTGAAAAATGTAGGAAATCCGATCCCATATATAAACGAACACACACACACACACACACACACACACACACACACACACACACACACACACACACAGGCGCGCGCGCACACACACACACAAACAACCTGGGTTTTATAATAAGTATAACTCGATATGAGTTGTCCCCCTTTCACTCCCGCGACAGCGATGCCTCTTAATCGTGTTTTCAACTTGATTTCGTGCAAAAACAATTGTGTTTTTCCAATTACCACCGCAAGGTAATTTTACGTAGTCATGTGAAGATTTGTTGAAATCGGTTGAAAAATGTGGGAAATCCGATCCAATATATAAACGAACAGACACGCACACACACAACCTGGGTTTTATAATAAGTATGATATATATATATATTACATTTTTATTATAAGAGATTATAATGAAAACATTTTAAATCGCTACATAAAAGCTTTCATGTTTCAATACCATGATTGTACTTCCGAGGGCTATGTATGGATCACCAATTACCAACCATCGCCTGAGAAAATACAATCATGGTATTGGAAACATGAAATCTTTTATGTAGTGATTTAAAATGTTTTTATTACAATCTCTTACAATAATAATATAATAATACTAATTTGCTCTACTTTGTATTGAAGACTTTTTAAAAAATAAATGTTACGAACTATGGATTTTTACCCCATCTGTTCTTTCTCTTATTTGGATACATGCATATATATATATATATATATATATATATATATATATATATATATATATATATATATATATGTATTTGTTTGTTATCTAAAAGCCAAAAGATATTGTATATTTGTGATTTTTGCAAGAATAATACATTTTTGTGTGAATTATATTAACAATTTTTTGAGAATTTCATATACAATTCCTACTGTTTAACCTATAGTTCCGGGAAGAGATGTATTTTCACATAAGTGTATGTAAATAACCGGACTGGAATTCGAACTCGGCTCTCCGATTTTACATTATATATCAGTAGGCAGGAAGAAACATGGAAAACGAAATCTCTGTTGTATTAATTTGAATTTAATCAATGTTTTTCAATCATTTCTTTCGATTTTATTTTTTTCCCTTCATTTGTTCTCGCCTGTTATGTGATCAGAATTTGATCTCATCAGGCTAGACGCCGACATGGCAAGCGATCACTGATTCCAGATTACTGCCGGCGATTGACCGCGGGCGCTGGTGCGTTCTCTTATTCAGACAACTTACTGGCATCATGGCTGCCATTCCGATAAACGCTGAACCATTAACCCGCCGACAATTTCCAGTAGCAAAAGTTTCTTTTGTGTATATATGTGTGCGTGTGTAGAAATTATGTGTGTTTGTATTTGAGGGAAAACGAATGAAAAGAGATCAAGGTTATCCATGTTTCATGCTCACAAGATGGCGTTCGATTCCCCCGAGAACGAGGCGGTTGGTGGGGTGATGGGGAGAGGAATAAAACGGCACAGAATAGAGATGTAAAACGGGATCCAGCTTATATGTGATAGAAATAATAAATGAGAAAGCATAAAAAAGAAAGAAAGAAAAATAAGGAAAGAAAGAAATAAGGAAGACAGAACAAGACAAAGAAAGAACGACACGACAACAAAAAAAAAAAAAATGAAAGAAAATGGCGGAAAGATGCAAGTACGCAAAAAAGAAAGAAATAAATGCCTCAAAAATAAATAAATAAATAAATAAATAAATAAAGAAAGAAAGAAAAAGGCAGAAAGAACGACACGATAAAAAAAAATGAAAGCAAATGGCGGAAAGATGCAAGTACGCGAAAAAGAAAGAAATAGATGCCTCAAAAAGAAAGAGGGAATGAAAAGAAAGAAAGAAAGAAAGAAAGAAAGAAAGAAAGAAAAAGGCAGAAAGAACGACACGATAAAAAAAAATGAAAGAAAATGGCGGAAAGATGCAAGTACGCGAGAAAGAAAGAAAGAAAGAAAGAAAGAAATAGATGCCTAAAAAAGAAAGTGTGAATGAAAAGAAAGAAAGGAAAAGGCATACAGAACGACACAATAGAGAATGAAAGAAAAAAAGAAAGATTTGTTGAGGCTACAAAGGAAAAAAACGAAAAAAAGAAAATAGGGGGTAGATAGATAGATAGATAGATAGATAGATAGATAGATAGATAGATAGATAGATAGATAGAAATGCGAAAAAAGGGAGGAGTAACTGGAAAAATAAGAATGAAAAAAGAAGAATGAAAGAAAGCAAACATGAAATAATGGAAGGAAATAGCCAAGAATCATGGCTAAACGCTGGAATAAGTGGACTGAAGGTGACAAGCAAAGATTAGGGCAACGAGAACGGAAGAAGCCAATAAAACAAATGCTGGGGAAAAAAAAAGGAAATCTGACTCGTGAAAGGAATTTGTCTCTGACGCTACCAGAATATATATCACTGACCTTTCACCTTTCCTTGTTTCATTATCTCGGCACTTTTTTCTTTTGCTTTCTTCTTTTCAATTTTTTTTTTCTTAATCCTTTTTCCCGTCAATTCTTCATTTAGCGATTCTTTATGGTGATCGTTCATTTATTTTATTTTTTTATTTTTTAAACCTTATCTTTCATTTTTGTCATTCTCAACACACATTCCATATCTGTGTATCAATGGGTGTCTCTTTTTTCTTGAGGGGGTCTGCTTTTGTGTGCGTATGTAAGTGACGGGTGGGCTAGGCATTTCATTTCATCGCTTCAGATTTTCACTTTGTAACATTTTTTTTTTTTTGCTTTACTCTTGAGAAATAACTCCTTCTTTTATGTGTCATATCCCTTTAGGACGTAGGTGATCATGGCTCTCCACTTATTCCTGTATCATTTTCAGTTATATATTGTATTCATTTATCCGATCATATTCTCTCTCTCTCTCTCTCTCTCTCTATATATATATATATATATATATATATATATATATAAATATATATATATTTAAAATATTGATTTAAAAAAGCGGAAAAAAAATCAATAAATCAATTAATTAATATATTAATGTCTCTGTAAATTTACATTGAGCACTATTTTGTAAAAATAAAAATAAAAATATCTATAAGAACACCGGATTATATATCTTACTGTTCTTTCTTTTTATTTATATACATTCTTTTTATTTATATATATATATATATATAGTGTAACCCGGATATAAGAGACCCGGATATAAGAGAAACCCGGATATAAGAGAGATTTTCTCTGGTCCCAAATTAGAGCCTGTGTTAATGTATATAAAATAGACCAAACCCGGATATAAGAGACCTTCGGTCCCGACAACTCTCTTATATCCGGGTTACGCAGTATATATATATATATATATATATATATATATATATATATATATATGGATTTAGTTCTATCTATCTATGCGTCTGTCTGAGTCTATCTATCTATCTATCTATCTATTTATCTATCTATCTATCTATCTATCTATCTATCTATCTATCTATCTATCCGTCTGTCTGATCCAGTCTATATATCTACCTATATACCAACTCTATCTATCTATCTATCTATCTATCTATCTATCTATCTATCTATCTATCTATCTATCTATGCCTCTGTCTGTTTGTCTGTCTGTCTGTTTATCTATCTGTCTATCTATGTATCCATCTATTTCTGTCTGTAATGTCACGAACTTACAAAATATTCCTTTGATAACACATTAGGTTAACCTATAAATAATTTCGTTTTTTTTTTTGTTTTTTTTTTATTGCCAACTTTATTCTACAAAAAATAAAGTTCAATTATAATTTCTTCAACTAGATATTCACCATTATTTGCAAGGATTTGTTGTTAGACAATTCGTCGATAACCTTTCATTAAAATTTCACAGGTTTTGATAGGGAAAAGTTTTCGACGTACTCCTGAATGTGCTTTTGATCAGAGAAAGCTTCTCACATCAAAGTATTTTGCAGCGACCAAAAAAAAATTAACAATCGTTTGGTACAAGGTCAGTTGAATATGGCGGCTGGGGTAGAAGAGATCCATCGAGTTCCAGGATTTTTTCTAGTGTTATTTTTTTATGTATGCAGCGTTGCGTTATTATGAAGGAGAACATTCCTTTTTCTTTTTATGGACACGTTGCATAAAAGTGTATTTAGCGTTTCGTTGGGTTTTAAAATCTGTAAATGAATATAATACCTCGGCAATACCACCAGATTATCTTACTTAAATGATGTTTAGCTTTGAGGGTCGGTTTTGGAGACTTATTATTTTTCAGTCCACTGACTTTTGCGCTGATCGTTGTTGTATGCAAACCACTTTTCATCACCTGTTATGATATAGATAAAGAACGGTTAGAGTGATATACAGTGTAACCCGGATATAAGAGAGTTGTCGGGAGCGGAGAAGAAGTCTCTTATATCCGGGTTTCTCTTATATCCGGGTTTGGTCTATTTTATATACATTAACACAGGCTCTAATTTGGGACCAGAGAAAATCTCTCTTATATCCGGGTTTCTCTTATATCCGGGTTTCTCTTATATCCGGGTCTTTTATATCCGGGTTACACTGTATTTGTCATTAACAATCGGTTTCCCCCAAAACGGAAATTACTTATGACTCAACCCAATAAATGAATCAATTTAATAAATAATTTAAAAATTTTCTTTGAAGTTAAATTTTGGTTTTTCCTTGTACGATAATAACCTAAAGGAAACCAGAAAAAAAAGCAAAGAAAAATAATTCTGTATATTTAAATAAGAAATTAATTTTCAAAACAGCAAAGCAAAACATTATCGCCCCAAATCAGCGTTAAATAATATTTTAGCTTATTATTATTTTCCTGATGTTGACCTTCGGAGTCAGATGTAAGACTCAAGGCAACGGAGGTATGGTTCTACAGAAGGATGCTCAGGATAACATGGACCGAACATGTGAGCAAAGGTAACATTTTGCAGAGGATGCAAACAAAGTGGAAGCTTATTAATTTGCACAAGGGTGTGCACTGCTGTCAATATACTACAACAGTTTGATTAGCTAATTTGATGGATGCCGCCAAAAGAGAAATTAGAACAGTTTAAAAAACTCACTCTTTTTTTTAATTATTTCATCCCAAGTAAGGCTATAATGCCACTAAGACGCAAGGGTTTACTGAGACTCTCTCTCTCTCTCTCTCTCTCTATATATATATATATATATATATATATATATATATATGAACCTACATCCCTTAAGGGGAACCGTTATTGGATCTGGCGTCCCTAACAACCCGGGCACGTATCAAACAGATATGGATGTTTTGAGAATTGGCAGAGAGTGTGTGTTGAAAAATCACTATTCGGGCTTTGTTTGACAGGTAGTCTTACGTGGCCGAACGGTTACACACACACACACACACACACACACGCACACACACGCACACACACATATATATATATATATATATATATATATATATATATGTATTCAAACAAGTCTGGCTAAATAATTTAGACATATCGTGTCGATAGACTTATAAAATTGATTAAGAAATATGCCAAAACTTGAAAAGATCAAATGGAAAAATAATCGACATGATATGTCTAAATTATTTAACTAAACCTGTTTGGATGAAAATATGCTGCCTAAATATCCACAAATATATATATATATATATATATATATATATATATATCAGGTTATTTATTTTCGTCTAACGGCCTAAATATACATATATATATATATATATATATATATATATATATATATATATATATATAGGTTATTTATTTTCGTCTAATGGCCTAAATATATATATATATATATATATATATATATATATATATATATATATATATATATATGATGGATTTGTATAATAGTCACTGCGAATAGAAATAATCATTTTTTTTCATAATTTCTGCTTATATAACAAATTATTACGCACACCGGACCAGAAATATCCAATAAAATTTTATTCTAAAATAACGTTAAGTGATATATATATATATATATATATATATATATATATATATATATATATATATATATATATATATATATATATATATATATATATATATATATATAGAGAGAGAGAGAGAGAGATAGGAACATAAAATGACAAGGCTTCATTTATTAAAAATATAATCAAGATAATGTGACTACAATTAACAGGATTAAAACAAGCAATAGCACAAATGGCGCCGACTTATCGGGGAGAAATAGAAAATAATTGGAAAGTTTATCGTCAACCACTCATAAACGCTCTGGTAGCTTAATTAATAAAGAGACTTCCATAAATAATAGTAGTAATTATTATTATTATTATTATTATTATTATATCTTTTTCTTCTCCTACATTGCCCCACCCTCTGCTAGACTTTTGTCTTTCCTCCAGTTGCCGCCATAATTTCTTGTTTTGAACCCTTCTCTGCTCTCTTGGTTTCAATTTGTCAAGACCATCTTACCATCGAACCTTTTCCTGGCTAAAGTTTCATTTGTAGATTCTGGATTTTGCTAACCCCGAAGTCCATACGTTGTCTCTCATTATCGCCACCGAACCTACCCTGTTCCATTTTAATTTACCAAGGATTTAGCGGACATAGTGGACGTCAATCTAGTCGATAACCTACTGAAGTTTCCCCTTGTCCCTCAAAGTGATGTCGAGCATAATTTCTTCATTAGTTTGTTTCATAGTTCTTAACTTGTGAGGTCTCTGAGCCGTATGTGATTGTTGTCTGTTGGCTAGAGGTTTCTTTTGAGAACCATGTTAATATTGAACTAGAAAGAGGAGCTAACTCAGCCTAGTCTGATACTGCACTTGAACAATTCTTTGGTCGTTTTTTTTTTTACAATAATGTTCCCTCTGTACACTCGAGGTAGACGGTTGCAGATTAAGAAGCACTATCCCAGGCAAGGTGACAATGTCAATAAGACGCAGGGGGGGCACCGGAAGTGAAAGAGAAGAAAAAGACTTTAATAGGGAACCGGAAAGCCAATTTCTGAACATGGGATAAACCTCTATTTCTGTTCAAAAGACTGGTGAAGAGTGTGAACTGGACGATAGGAAACCCTACCTACTCCTATTGAAGAAAGATGTAAATAACTAGTTCAGAGTTTAGACCAAACTAAGTGTCCGTTTTTATTATATAATCATCTAACTGTTCGTTTATAATGACTTTTCTTCATGTTCCGAGACAGACTGTTTTGCTTCTCCAACTTAGCGAAATTAACCCTTAAAAGAAAACAACGTAAAGAAAACTTTCGCATTTTCCCCCTTTTTCGACACACAGTTTTATTTCAAATTCTAAATTTAATTTGATTTATAGGAACAT